ATCCTTAGAAAGCAACCTTTGAAAACTAAATAATTTGTCTACTTATATCATCTTTCAAGTTATGTTCCTTGTACTCTCTACCTATAACTTAAAATCATTGTAAAAAGAAGCATGTTTAGACACTATTTTGTAATATATATAACCGATTTATTTAGGATTTGGGCAGTTGAAGAGAATCCGTGAAATGAAACGTACTCGTATTATCCTGTAGATATGTTCGTTCTTCCTTTATTAAAAGTTTTCATAAATTTCAGTATAAGTTTCATCATGAAGCAACATTACACATGAAACTCGTCAAAAGCATGAGGACATCTTGTCCGTACTCAGTTAACTGCAGTGTCACAATTCATTGTTTTCTAAAGGCGCAAAATATTCTCAGATCAATAAAATTATATGCGAAACTAAGATTGGTTATTTCTCTGATCATTTTCTTAAGTGAATGAAAGAAAGCAGGAAGCAGTCCTAGCCAGGTAACCTTGAACTAATCAAGCATAAGGGATATACATCAGTGTGGAGATGTACAGAACTGACTAGAAGGCATAAGGAAGGAACTTTTAACACTCATGTGAATTCAGCCACTGCCTCTATATGGTTCATAAACGTGGAGCATGAATTACCAAAAGTATCTCACATAAGCTACAGACTTTCATCAACAGCTGTCTCCTTCACTGCCTCGATACTGAAGGTCAGATGGTCTTTAAGGGAACAAATCAACTAAAAAACGATCGGACATACACCCAGGAGATATTCAAGCGATATCACATTCCAGAGACTCCAGTCAGACGCGAACAAGAAGCGATGGGTTCGGCTTTGGAGAATAATATGGAGAAGACCATGTGTAGAGAAAATAAAACGCCTAAGGGCAATTGTTGATAAAGGTCTGTAACAGGTTGTTGGAAATAATCTTTATGACCCACCAAGTTTCTGATCCTTATAAAAACTTGGCGGGTCATAAGGAATATTTCCAACAGCCTGTTGCATGCAGACCTTTATCAACCAACAACTGTCTTCGCTGGATCTATACTGAAGATCAGATGGCCGGGCGGACCGGAAAGAATCACCAACAAGAAACTATGGGAAGGAAAAAATAAAACGAGAACCAATCACCAACCAAAAAATATTCAGGAGAAAGTGGAGATGGATTGGACGCTCGCTCACTGAGGAGGCCGGTGGGTGACATTTCGCGCGCGTCAGGCCATTGTTCGAGTGGAACGCAACAGAATTGGAAGTGGAGAGTGGGTCGTCAGTGCAAGGGTGACATGGAGGAGACCGTGTGAAGGGGAGTTGAAACAGTATGGATTAACATTGATGGATGCAGGTGAAAAGTAGAGCAGATGGAAGACAGAAGTGGCAAGTGTAGACGTGCAGTTGAAGCCCTATGTTGCACTAGGAACCCAAGGGAGCAATAGCAATAATAAGGGCGATTGTTAAGCCAGTTGAAAGCGACGATAGAAAAACGAATGGAATGTAAATGTGCTAGCACTGGTAGTAAGTGTTTCTAGTGGGACTCAAAAGCAGCGCCCATAGTTCCAAACACACTAAGCGTCATCCACCATCTACCAAGTTACAGCAAGATAATCCGCAGACATTTTCGAAGAGTTCATACTGATAGCTGACATTTTAACATGGAGCAGGTACTTCGGTGGATACAAAAGTAACCTAGGTAAATGTAGGGGCTGTTTTGTAGTTCGTGTCAGTATTGAATTTCTATTTTTTTTCCAGACATAGGAACTATAGGGGCTCAGAGTTCACATGTGAGCACAGCAAAGAGTATTTAAAGTGACTACAGTCTCAGTTTGTCATCAATTAACTCTCTCTCTCTCTCACACACACACATAAACACGCACACGTAATGCATCAAAACTAAACACTTAAAAATGGTCCTAGTGTAACAACAGAAGACAAGGGCCAGGCAACAGATCGTTTTATTATGAAAATCAACACGTATTTATACATCTTTCAACTACATTATTATAGACAAGCGCAGTCATCTGATTGGTTGTTTAGGTAGACAAACACAGGCTTCTGATTGGTTGTTTCGGGATTCCTTGACAAATAGAGTTCTCTCTGCGAATCATATTCTGCCACGTTAACTTTGCTGTGATTGGTTGTTGACTCAGGCTTGTTCATATTTTCTCACGGCCCATATTAGTGACCTAGACCTTAACGTAGATTAGTGCCAACCAATCGGCTAGCAGCCTGCTCTCACCACACTCGTCCCCCCGTCAAATACGTGCGACTGAAGTCGGCTTGATCTACTTGGTGCAGGCGTCATCGTTGGCTTGTCTCGCTGTATCCATTTCTGGAGCTCGCTGACGTTCACGCGCCTCTCATTGTTCGCCATTGCGACTGTGTCTGCGTAACCCCATCTCGAAGTGACCATATGTGGTCCTTCCCACTTTGGAAACTGTTGGCCTGACCCTGTCGAACATTCGTCCATACTTCGGCTCACACTTTCATATGCTGCTTTCACCCGACCTCCCAGCAGCGTCCCAAGTAGCAGCTCCATCGCTGACAGATCTTGAACGCCACTCAACTGTGCAGAAGCCTTGAAGTCCTGCCCGAAGATCCATATGTCTCCATCAAAAACAGCAGGGCATAGGCTTTCCATTTGTCGGTAGGCAGCGACACCAAATGTAACAACAGAAGACAAGGGTCAGGCAACAGATCGTTTTATTATGAAAATCAACACGTATTTATACATCTTTCAACTACATTATTATAGACAAGCGCAGTCATCTGATTGGTTGTTTAGGTAGACAAACGCAGGCTTCTGATTGGTTGTTTCGGGATTCCTTGACAAATAGAGTTCTCTCTGCGAATCATATTCTGCCACGTTAACTTTGCTGTGATTGGTTGTTGACTCAGGCTTGTTCATATTTTCTCACGGCCCATATTAGTGACCTAGACCTTAACGTAGATTAGTGCCAACCAATCGGCTAGCAGCCTGCTCTCACCACACTAGTAGGCTTAACATTTTTATAAACTTCCAACTGTGGAGACTCCAGGTAAGATCAAACTTCGTTGTAAGTACTATCCGGTTGTATCTCAGTAACAGTCACAATACAAATTGATTCCAAATAATGAGTTTGCGAGAGTTCGATGGCTTTAGAGAAGCAGATTTCTTTAATAGTCCATAGCAGGTGAAAAGCCAGTAACTTCATGAAAACTGGAATCTATGAGTGTTATTAGACTTTCCTGAGAAGAATGCATTACATTTCAACCATCGGTATATCTGTAGGCGGCTTTCACTACTTTTGAAGTACTTTATTTTACAACACAGCCCACTGAGTTAATCGATCTAATAGTTACTAGCTAGACCTGACTGTCAGGCTTGCATATTTCAATGACCCCCTGGATTACACTGGTTGAAGCTAATTTTCCTGCAGTTCCTGCCATGTCAGGAAGGTGGACTGAATAGCGACCAGACTTAAAACAGTTACTATCATGTTGTATTAAAGATGTAGAAAACCAGCCAACAATACAAAACAAGCACCAATCAATATCTATGGAAGGAATTTGAAAGAGGTCACCTCTTTCACTACTCTAGAAAGCATCGTTACAACCACAGGTGACAGCACCAGTGAGGATGTCAAAACCAGAAGCAAGGTACACTCCTTCATCGCTCTGGAATCAGTTTTGAAGTCTTCTGTACTCAGCATAAAGTACAAGTTTTGGGATTTGCAACGCAAATATTAAGACAGTCAGTAAGTACTTCTGTATGAGTCAGAAACTTGACGCAGAACTAAAAGCATTTACTGAAGACTTTTCTCAACGACTGCCATCGTTGCATATTCGAGAATCAAATGGTTAGCCAGAAGGAATTAGGAACAAGAAACTCTGGAAATCAAACCAAATAGGATCTCATTGTTAAAGAAGCATTCCGGAGAAAACGGAGATAGATCGACCAAAAACGCTGAGGAGGCCGTCGAATGACACCGTGCACAATGCAGGCCATGGATCGAATTGAACTCGATTGGGAAACGACGAGTTTGGCATTGCTCTGTTGGGATGACTGTTATGAACTGGTCGAGAATTTAATAGTCCTGACGCAAGATGGCGGAAATCAGAAGACCACTAGGTTTGCGATGATACTTTATTTTCCAAAACACCAGGAGAAGCAATAAGTGGTATCACACCAAAGTGGTAAGTCAGTCTTAACATGAATGGCTATTATAATGAAGTATCGATCCATATATACATAGCGAAATATAGCAGACATGTCAACAACCACCATATATGGATATATGTCACCAAGCAACGGACTGTCAACAAACACTCATATTATATATAATATAAGGGAATATACATTGTTAAAGGAGACATGTTCATCAAGTGAAATGGCACAGACTAAGCGAGCAAACAGAAAGAGAGACCAACATACACACACACATAATATATATATGTGGATACATATCAATGACATGGAAGAGGTTGTGTGAATAGGAGGAGATGAGAGACCATGGGCAATCTTGGACCCAGTTAAAGAGGAGGCATGCCTTTTGAAGCCTCTATATTCCACTCGGAACCCAAGGGAATAACAATAATAATAATGATAATTATCAAAGCAGTAAGCAAGCTATCTCGCTTCTTCTCTGTAGAGACAGATTAGAAAAGGTCAGCCCCGAAAACTGTACATCACGACATGCCTTGCAGTGCTCTATAGCCGGTTGTACGAAATTAAAACGAACTCAACCCCTAAAAGCCAACTCAAACAGGCTGGCCTCAAGCAGATGTTCCCCGGACTCTGCATGCGATCACGCAACTCTAATAATCTTTCTGTTTTAGGTACTTCAAGATGAAAGCAACTTCCATGGGTGTGGGCAACTGTGACAGTAATCATCGCATCCTCACATACTTCCATAAGCACACAAAGCTGATGGTGGTTCTCATTCCTACCACTACTCAGATTACAAACTAACCAATCGAATCACACGGTTGTTTAATCGATAAAATCTAATTAACCAATCAAAATTATCCAAGTAGAAAAGTTCACCTACCTGTTTCTCCTTGACTTGTCATCTCCGAAGAACCAAGAAATTTCACGGATATCATTGGAATTTCATCATTTTCATCAATCACTGGGATAATAACCACTGCTGTACTACTGCGTTCATATGGTTGAGGTGCAGAATCAATAGCTTTCACTTGGAAGACAAATCTTTTAGAATTCTGATTGATGTTGGGATTATTGAGGTTGGACAATGATGTCGGTGATGATGACGATGGCATATCCGACAGAAATGAACTAAACAACAGCTGATCATCTGTTAAACTTGTCTCCATTGTCTCATAATCTAACCAACGTTTCAATATAATTGTACCATCCGCCTGTACACTGAAATAATTCATCGCCAGTGTACCTGGAACCATTGTATATCGAATCCTATTATTCATCGGTGAAGCATCTCCATCTGTAGCAGACAAATTTAATACCACAGTACCGGGAAGTGTTTTCTCTGAGATACCACCATTTGGTGGATAAAATATTGATTTATCAAATATTGGTGGATGATCATTGACATCGATTATATTGATTTTGATCAGAGCAGTACCTGTACGCTGGGGTAATCCAGAATCAGTAGCTAGCAAATAAAATTCATAATGTTGTTTCTGTTCATAGTCTAAATTAATTGTTGAAATTAACTCCAATGGTCCATTAGGATTATCTTCTAAAATAAACGGAATATATTCAGTAGGATCAATATTGTTCTGGGCATTGATCGGCTTTTTGATTGACTCTAGATGATATGTTACTTGACTGTTAGCTCCTTCATCAGGATCATAAGCTCTTGGTAGCATTGTACGTGATGATTGAAGCTGGTGATACGTTTGCTGACGATGTTGTTGCAGTTGTGGTTGTTGTTGTTGGTGTACACTGGAATAGTCGTCTCCAGCATCTTTAGGGATTTCAGATAACTGGACAACAATATTTGGTATATTTATCTGATAACCACTACTGTTAATATCGATATCAGTAGTTGTTGTTGTCGCTGTTCTAGTTGGATGGAAGTTCATTCCATTACTAACTGATATCCATGTTGGACTATTATCATTAATATCGATAATCAATAAATCAATAGGTATCTTTTTAATATCGACTTGATTCAATTCTAATATTTGTGTAGTCGATAGAATGTGAAGTGTTTTAATACATCGTTTATTTAAATTATTTGATATTATATGCATTGGATTAATAAAATAGCCTAAATTAGTTAAATATTTATCTGTGTTCAGGGTATTTTGTAAAAATAACGGAGGTCTACCGTTGATTGGAAACCTTGAACTGAGGCTGCTGGTGCTACTGCTACTGGTGATTGTCAAGGGGAAAGAATTAGCACTGCATAGAGCTTCACGATCAATACGCTTTTTCACAGTCAGTTTCCCGCTAACTGCCTCTAAATCTAACGCATTTGTCAATGGATCATGTGTATCAAGCAATTGAAAATTGAACTGAAGTTTGTTAAAATTAATCATCTTGTTCGCAGGATTTTCATGCTGGCTAGAAAGGAATTGTAAGTTGAATAGAATATATTGATGTAGATATTTTGAAACACCGATAATTTCTGTCCCATTTGGAGATTCTTCAATCAGCCGGAATAGATTGGATGCTTCTTGTTCTGGTAATGGATGATATTCGTGTGGAATATGTGTTGGCAGTATCGTGTGACTGGTGTTATTTTGGTTATTATTATGATTATTATGACTGTTATGATTATTCCGAAGATTATCTTCAACTACGGAATACACAGAACGCATACAATTAAAACAGTTATGAAAATGGAAATAATAATAGAAAAATATTTTAATCAATAAGTGTATTTCTTTGAAACTAGTTGACATGTTTTTTTGTCGTTGTCCTATCAGTCGGTTGATATCTGAAGAAGGCAGGAGAGAAGAGAGAGAAAACAAACAACTGGTCATCATTACATCATAAATTGTCGACTTATTTACAAAGAAACCGCCAAATTTTTGAAGTATTAGCCATATCAAGGTCATTTGTTGAATTGGCCAATCAGGGATGAGTATATATTGCACTTCTCGAAAGTGATTGGCTAATAATACAGCAGGCTCGCTTACTGTTTATGAAATTTACCTATTTACTTGTTAATGAGGGAAAATACAGTTTTTCCAGCATGAAGTAATATTTCTTTTCAACGATCTTATTTTCAAACTGTACAGCCTTGTATTTATAATATAGTAAAATGTATTAAGTGGTACGAAAACTACTCCCCCTTGTTTGGAACTCTTCAGGACCAGACATACGAGCGGAGTAAGAACCTAGGACATTCCGGTAACAAGATTAGTTCACAGACCATTCATTTACTGGAACCAATGCGTCAGTGGTTCAGTGGTAGAACAGTCTTCAAGATAATTAACATGATGTTTAAGAGGGTGGGGTTAAATTGAATTAATCACTAAATTTTTAAAAATTATTCAATAAGTGAACTCACATTAAGAGTTTTTAAATATGATGGAGAAGATTTGTAGCTCATGTGGATGATTTTGGTGTAATTATGTTTTCTGATCTGGATGGTTTATTTGCGAAGCTTTTAAGTTTGATTGCAGAAGCAGTGATGCAAAGACTCGAAAACATAATTCTACCAAAGATCAGAACCATATGTGGATACGATAAGTAGATGACACATTTAAAATAATCAAAAGTAACGAGTTGGATAAAACTCACAACTTAATAAACAACGTCTTCAACGATATCAAATTCACAAGAGAAGAGGAATCCAAGAACAAAATCCCTTTTTTGGACGTCTTAGTCATGCGAACAGCCACAGGAGAATCAGAAACTCAAGTTTATAGAAAATCAACTCACACGAACCTAATGGTCAATTACACTAGCAACAATCCAATAATACACAAAAGGACTTGTATACAAACACTATTCAAGAGAGCCATCCAGCCAGGATTCATTACAACACTCTCACCCTAAGGAAAATTGAATCTTGCCGACATATTCCAAAAGAATGGATGGAAATCCATGGAACTTCACCAGAGGGCATCTATCTCCAAGTCAACCTACCAAATCAAAGGCCCCCAAGAAAAGCACAAAAGAAAATCGTCCTACAATATATAAAGGACATCGTAGAAATCACTGCAAGACTGTTCAAACTCTTATGAATTGACATCGCACACAAACCAATAAAATCAATGCACTGAGTTCTACATCAACCAAAAGACTCAACAACGAAAGGAAATGAAACCAACATCGACTGCGAGAAACACTACATTGGCCAAAGTGGGCTTCCGCTTCGTCTTCGTATGCTTGATAATAAACTAGCCATCAAAAGACATGACATCCACTTCATCATTTCACTGCATACAGACAACCATGGACATCCATTTGACTGGAACAACGTTCAAATATTAGACAGAGGAAACACCAAGAATGCTAGCTAATTTTTAAAAGTCTGGTATTCCAGTGAATCGTCAATCAATTGATACATCAATACAGACAAAATTTACCAGTCGATAGAAAGGGAATCTCACACACAAAGGGACAAACTTCAGGTCAAGAGAACAATTAGTACCAACACCACATTTAGCCTAGATGGTGTGAAAACACACGGAAACAACTAATCACAACGTTTAAGGTGACCAGGAAAGATGACTAATAAACTCATAGAGAAATCTAAAAGCTCACTTCAACAAATTGAAGTATGAGCTGAAGATGTTGCTTAGTAGTGTTATGTACTCGTCGCCAAATTATTGTTATGTACTGGTCGAGAATTTAATAGTCCTGACGCAAAAAGGCGGAAATCAGAAGACCACTAGGTTTGCGATGATACTTCTATTTTCCAAAACACAAGGAGACGCAATAAGTGGTATCACACCAAAGTAAGTCACACAAATTGTGAGAGCGAAATATATATGAATGTCCAGACAAGGGTGTGAACAAAACAATAGACAGTCTTAACTTGAATGGCTAATTATAATGAAGTGTCGATCCAAATATACATAGCAAAATATAGCAGACATGTCAACAACCACCATATATGGATATATGTCACCAAGCAACGGACTGTCAACAAACACTCATATTATATATAATATAAGGGAATATACATTGTTAAAGGAGACAGGTTCATCAAAGTGAAATGGTCACAGACTAAGAGAGCAAACAGAAAGAGAGATCACCATACACACACACATATATATATATATGTGGATACATATCAGTAGGCCAATGAAATCTTCGCAAATAAACAATCCTGATCAGAGAACACAATGACATCAAAAAGTTTTAAAACAGGCCAGGTCTATATAGATTGACAACCACCCATCTAAGCTTTTCACTGTGAAGGAAAAGTCAGTTTCTACACTTCACTTCTCAAGTGTTATGCAAGGCAGAAGAGATGGCTCATTGAGAAGAACAGTCCACTGAAAGCCGATCTTTGCAGGGGAATATACTAACTTATGCAATTGTACACCTCTGGGTAGGAGAAGGAACTTTATCCATTCTCTATGTTCAAACGTTCCGAAAATCTGCTCTAAAGATACAGTTGATGAATAACTGGGAGAACTTCATACAATAGTCTGAACTGATGAACATCCTAGAAGGTTTACGGGAAGATATATTTGAAAAGAAATCGTTTCTAGCCAAATCTTAATGCTGAATAAGACACTGTTTATGAATTTGGTATTCAGTGGTGATACCACTGCTGAATTAATTAAAAGTCGTCTATCTGGGTGTATTTTAATACTGCTGACCTATATCTAGTATACTCAGGTCAAAGTTTGACTTGACTATGAGTGAAGGATGTACTACAGATTATGTCCACCTTTATGTGAATCTACTCTTTCTCTAATTGTATTGAATTCTGTTAGTGCGTTTTCTGGAGACCCAAAGCTGAATACTACCAGGTGTAGAGTTAATTGCTAGGTGGTGACTAGCAGTGGAATCTAGGACAACACGCATTTCGTCCTGTTTGAGACTCATCACCTCGATGTACCTACATTCACCAGTAGGTCAATGATGGGGTTCCTACCGAAGCTCGAACCCAGTGCCCACAATTTCAAACGACGGGAAAATCTTTAAAAAATATATATTAAAACAGATAATAAATGTGATCCGTTGCATCAGAGGTGGCTCCGTGGCCCAAGTGGTTTAGTGGATAACGCTTCGGTGTTTGAAACTATGGACATTGGTTCAAAGCATCAGTGGAACACCATCACTGACTCATGGAGAATGCAGGTAGATCCAGATGAGGAGTTTCAAATAAGACGAAATGCACATCCTTATGGATTCCGCTGATAGTAACCATCTACCAATTTACTACAAGTTACACTACCAAACATCGTTGAGGCATATGCACAAGGAGACGATATGTCAACGTGAGACGAGGAGCACTTCGGTCCATTTAAAATCATTCGTAGGCTATTCTATCTCACTTGTGGATACAGACAGAACACAAGATTGGTGTTAACGAGGCTTTCGAAGTCATTTACAGCATACCAACAAATCTTAACTTCGCCTTAAGAGTTCGATTACTAAATATTCCTGAGGCTTGTGTTGGGATCCTATTAAGATGCATAATTTTGCGTGCAAAGAAGTGGTTCAGACATTGTCCTTACCCGCTTGGCCATCTAGGTTTGAATGACCCCCAATTTTTGTGAATTTCCCTGATCTTAGTTGATTTTCATTCGCTATTATATCTTTATTATTTTATAATTTAGCTCTTTAACTGTAATTCCATTGTGATCTTACCTAACAAATCGATATTATTTAAAAAAACACTAATATTGTTATTGACTACTAATCTAGAATATTCTGTGTATATAAACATGTATATAATTGTAAAGCCGGAAGAGGAATTTATCGAAAAGCATATTTTTGCTCGCTTAATTATTTTGTGTTTTATCGATGTTTGAATGAATATTTTTGCCATACTTCTTCTGTGTACAATGTGGTGAGAGCAGGCCGTGAGAAAATATGAGCAAGGCTGATTCAACAACAAATCACAGCAAAGTTAACGTTGCAAAATATGATTCGCAGATAGAGAACTCTATTTGTCGAGGAATCCCGAAACAACCAATCAGAAGCCTGTGTTTGTCTGCCTAACTTCTGATAAACAACCAATCAGATAACTGCGCTTGTCTACTTGCATAAGCTATAATAATGTATGTGAAATATGTATAAATACGTGTTGATTTTCATAATAAAACGATCTGTTGCCCCGCACTTGTCTTCTGTTGTTACACAATGAGTCTGTTTTCTGGTATTGATTGATTGCTACACCTTTAGCTACTGACAGAAGACGTAGTCAACTTCCTCTAAATGGATTACCGTGAACACGGTAAAATAAATGAGAACGTCTTCTCAGACATTATCTAGTGTCCAGTATCTACCAAGTGGGCTGAGACTGCTGAACTACTTACGCATTCGTTTACCCTGTTTTACTCAATCATATAGGTACATGCTCCAAGTTAAAAATCACCAAATAGTATTGAATAAATTATCGACTGAAGTAGCACATTTCTGTGTCACCTACAATAATAAAATCTGCAAAAAGAGGAAAACCTTTTTGTGCAAAATAATAAAAAAACACGAAGAAAAAAGGTGGGCTGTTTTTCAACGAGTTACAAAAACTGCCTAAATCACAAATACATCTATAGGTATAATAAAATATCAAAGTGTTGAAAAGACAATGAACAACTTCATTAATCAAACTAAGCGCACTTTTTTGTATGTGCGTGTATGTACTTCTGTGTATTTTTTGTCCCTTTCTCTATTGTGTGTCTTTGCG